GCCCTGCCGAGGTTGGGGTAAAGTGGATACCTAACAAGCATCCATGCTCAACCTTGACGGTATCATCAATAAGGTACACCAACCCTTCAGAGAGCAGCGCTATGAGATCCATTCCGTGCCAGGCAGGTGACTCAATACCAAGCAAGGCAGTCGCTTTTAAGTGAACTGGAACAAGAGCAGGCAACGACTATGAGCCGAATTTTCTGGGATAATCTGTACAGCATTCACAGACAGCTCACTTGCTCATTTCTTGTAAGGCACATCGTGATGATGGAAGTTCTATCGCCTTCCCGTCTACCATTGAATGAACAGAGTTCTTCCAGCTTTAATAACCATGTCTGCCATCCCTCATCTATCAAATGAAGCTTTCAATGTTTCTTCATACATCGGGCTGGTATCTTTTGCCGATGTGACCACAACGCCTGATATAACAGGATATTCTCGACATAGTCCGCCCCGTGAGCACCGGTCACGAGTATGGCTATGAAGAGGAAAGCTCGGTGACCGTTATCAATCTGACATTTCTGCATGAGCTCTCAAAGGTGATCTTGCTTTCGCCTACGTTGTCTGCCAAGACCTTCACCCTCTTTTGTCATCACTCGAGTGCGAATCACCCGGTAAAATATGCCGCGCTGATACATTACAGCGCATGCTACAGTTTTCGATGTTCAGAGGCGCAATGAGGCCATGGTTAGTCGTGGCCCACTCTCGAAGGCCCGACAAATCAATGCCGTGTTGTCGAACTCGGGCTGCATACCCCCGCTAGGTAATTAACCATGGTCCAGTCGTCTAACAGCTGGGCGGTTGGTTGCTTTCGAGTCTCTCGAGAACGGCGCGATAGTTGCCCTTCGATGCTTGAATAGCGCGGCCCATGAGTTTCGTATGGAGCAAGGGGTCCAGCGGCGAGAGCTGGCCCTTCACCCAGAGGTTGGTGATCTCCGCGCGACTAGGGAGGTAAGCCACACAGCAAGCGGCAAGTATTTTGTCGTGTTCCAGAGAAACGGGATCCAACACAACAGACAGAGCGTCCGCGTCTGTGGTGTCTTGCTCGTTTGAAGAGACAAGAGCTGCAACACCGCCGGTAACCATGTCGACACAATCGATGCCGGCATCAGCGAGAGCCGCCGCGGCAACGGTGATGCAGCCACTAAGGACGTTCATCATATCCCACTCTTCGTTGCCTTGAGAGTGGGACGCCTCTCGCTCTTGGTCGCCTTCGATAATGGTAACAATCACGTCAACGCCACTCTTTGGCCATCTATCGGCAATGATAACTCCACGTAAGGCCGTGTCGAGATGAACACTGAGATCTCTCTCACTCGAGTCACGAAGGTAGCCTCGACGTCGACGTGTGGCGAAAGGAGCATACTTGACGTGAGTTGAGAGCACCAAGTAAGGTGAGAAGGGTGCGGATCGAGGAAGCGAACGAGGCCCATGGACGGTGCAGATGAGCTTCATGCCATTGGATTTTGACTGAGAAGCGGCCTGAGATTTGATCTGGCCAAGTGGTGGCTCAATCTCCATGTATGCTGAGCCTGAAGCTGTGGGGGTGACGCCAGTCTTGAGAACTTCTCACTATTAGCATCATCGAACCCCAGGAGAAAATCAAAGATCAACTAACACAATCCTCGAATGCCGTTGGCCGGCCTTTCCCTAAGAGTCGCAATCGGATCCGTAGCCTCATAAACGGGCGGTAATGTTGTACCAGGCGGTCCATTGATTCTCCGTCGATCAGCCATCTTGATAGACTCTCGTTTTTCAATTCCCGGCAGTGTGAGAGGCGGTTTTGTCGGGTTTTTTGGGTTGGAAGAGTTTGAGTTTTGCTGGGGATATTTACAGCATTATGTGCATTAAATGGTGAATACCTGACGTCGTTTGCCTGAGTTGAGAGCCTTTCTCAGTGGTGAGTACTCGAGATGAGGCCTGAGGTGAATTTTCCAGGTCGTTGCCGACCACTACGGCTACTATACCCGCTTAGATGCATCTGCGCGCCGGGTCCACAAAGGTAAGTGGGGACATCCCATTATGCCATATAAGGCTCGATACTTCAAGTCGAAATTTTTCACCACACTCTTTCCCTCCATCAACCTCAACCACCATTCATCGCAATCGTGGGAATCGGTGCTCCGGCAGCCTAAATGCGCTGCTTCTACATGGTCAGCCTCGAGAGCATTCTACTTGGTAAGTTTTTGGAGCCTCAATACCGCCCGTTGTCCACTTTCATGATGTATATCTTACACACCGTTCCCGCGATCTCCTGAGCGCAAGAACAAACATGCATCACCATCTGATCCTACGCCGCTATGGACCTTCAGCAAATTCTCTTGGAACCAGAAAGGAGAATTTTACTAACTGTGGTTCAAGGTCAATAAACTAGGTTGAACATCTCGTCGCCAGACCTTCGTGTCTACACTGTTTGGGTACGTTAACTTTGCATTGTTTTCTCTTTCTGCAGCACCTGCACATCGTCGACTATGATGAACAACCCATTCATTCAGTTCTGCTACTGAACACTGTGATGATAACCCATATACCAAAAACCTTGTCTGACACGACGTCTATCTTCCTTCTTTGCTGTTGCTTGATGATTCGAGGCAAATAGCTAACAGGGACCGTCCCACAGCAGGCAATCAATCTGATTTGTACAGCTTAAGAGCTCTCGTCTCCAAATTGTGGGCAAGCGCGCAAGCACAGGTAAGAAATTTCTTTTCATAATTCTCCCGCGCGTGTTTCTTGGGCTTCTTGCCCGGGCGCACGCAACATCATGATGACCATAGCTTATCCATTCAACTATGTCATGCCCGCCGAGTCATCCTCCCGCACTGGAGTTCCTCTCCGGAGGGATGAGGAAGGTGGTGGAGTTGGCTCCCTCGGGAGTCGTCATTTGACTTCAGTGCTGAGCTTCTCGGTTCCTCGTTCTGAGGTTCAGTGTTCGCGAGGCCGGCTTGGCTGAATGAGTACACCCGGCTTGTCTGACCTGATGCCATGATCATACTTTCTCAAGTAGCCTTTGCGTGTGGTTCACTTTGCTAATGATGTCCACGTTTAGGATTCTCCCTTGTATTGCCTTGCCTCCGTTATGTATTTTGTGTACCTCTGTCTACCCCCGTGATGTTCTCTAGAGCGCTTCTCCTTCGTTGTGTTGAGAAAAAGTGAAGTGTAACCTCGCGTGCCTACTTCATCCACCTACAGCTAAAGTCGGGATGATGTGGCTAGGCGTTGGGGATGAGCAAGATTCCAGAAGTGCATGGACTGTGACCTTGGTCTTTTCCACGCCCTCTCCTTCCTGATGGCCCCCACAACGGCAAGTGCAGTGTGATGGTGTCTGTAAGGTAGGCAAGTGGATAAAATGCTCGGGTATGATGGCCTCGGAAATGCCGAACACCTCACGTCTGACGGCGAAATGCGATGCCTATGTGTTGTGTTGCGCGGCCTCGTCCCAGATTTCTCATCATCGAAGGGACCTACCTATTCAACTCAAGTGTTGGGGTGAGCTAAGGCGCCTTGCTATCCGGTTCAGAGGGGGTTTACGGCGTATCTCTTCCTAATCGTGATCCTGCTCATATTCCCTGGCGTCTTCCAGAAGCCATCTTATCCGATCGGCTGTTTCCTGTCAGCTCTACCGAGTCTGGTTTTGCGCCTAACGTTTCAGACAGATGTTGCTGTTTTTGAGGATAATAAACGCTTGCTGGCGTCATGAAAGTTTGGGAGAGAAAGAGGGAAGAAAAGAACACTGGATCCTGCCTTATCGTTGGGAGCGATCGTGGATGGAAGGGAGGTTAAGCTTTAACGTAGGCAGATTTACGGACCTCCCGGGCGATTATGCGGCCAGATAGTCGCGGATTCGAAAGCTCGAAAGGCAAGGTAGCTTGCTCCCGCATAGCTCAAGGCAATGGAATCCAGACTAGTGGGAGCTCAGGGAGGCTTCTTCCGCCAAGTTTCGTCCAATTATATTGCAGACTGTGCAGCGCATACCCATCCTCCCGCCCGCCCTGCCACCCTGCTTTGGCAGATGGACACGTTCAAAGTACGCTGTCCTTACTGTGCATAGTTCCCAAACGGCGCGAAGCAGGGGTGCCGGTACCTGGCTCGGTGCCCAGTCACAGCTGGGTTGCCAAGTACCTACCTATTCAATTCCTGGGATGACAGAGAGGCAATCTGAAAATAAAATAATACGTAGCCAAAGTTGGCGTCCCGGTCCAGTCCCAGTCCCAAACCCCGTATTCGCAGGTATCCCGTCGACGCTCCCTTAACCTACCTGACCCATCCCATATTATCCTCCTCAAGACGCATTGTCATCCGCCATCGCGATCGCGGCCTCCATACCTTTCGACAACTTGACACGTTCGCTGCCCGAGCCGCACTTTCCAGCCAACAGCACTCGCTCCCCCTGGTTTTAGATGCTCTCCTCTGCTTAACCTTCACGACTCCCAAGGGCTGGGCGAGGTGCTTTATTGCTGTACAACTCTCCACCCTCACCTCGGGACCGGGAATTCGACTTCCACCCAGTGCCCTGGATGTTGCCTTCTTATTCTTCATCAGCCTCCAAGGTGGTGCCGCGGCATCATGCGAGTGGTTATTCCAATGGATATCCAAGGGGGAACACGTTCGAGATCTCCCCTCACAGGTCAGGAAGACACCTTTGTTCTCTCCTCGCTGATTGTTTCTATCCTTTGCGCCGCGCCTCGCTGACCTGTTATTCTCTTCTCAACAGATACCAACCACGAGCCTCAACACCCGCGAATCGTCGTCGTCAGCGCCTAGTAACCCGCCTCGTCATTGTCGCCGTTATCGCCATCCTCTTTCTCGTTTTCATCTGGCCGGGAGCCTCCCTGACTTCCATATTCTCCCTCGGTCTGCTGTCCGCCAGCAGCGACTTGCAATTGGAAACAGTACGATACTACGATCTCAGCAATGTGCAGGGGACTGCTAGGGGATGGGAGCGCGAGGAGCGCATTCTTCTCTGTGTCCCTCTAAGAGACGCCGAGTCACATCTGTCCATGTTCGCCTCCCATCTGCGCAACTTCACCTACCCCCACCACCTCATCGACCTTGCCTTCCTGGTCTCCGACTCAAAGGACCGCACCCTACAGGTTCTCAACGATATGCTCGAGGAGATTCAGGCTGACGAGGACCCCAAACAACCTTACGGCGAGATCTCCATCATCGAAAAGGATTTTGGACAAAAGGTCAACCAGGATGTCGAGAGTCGTCACGGGTTCGCGGCACAGGCGAGCCGAAGGAAGTTGATGGCCCAGGCCCGTAACTGGCTACTGAGTGCCGCCCTACGGCCATACCATTCCTGGGTGTACTGGCGCGACGTCGACGTCGAAACCGCCCCATTCACCATCCTCGAAGATCTCATGCGTCACAACAAGGACGTGATTGTGCCAAGTAAGCTCGGAAACCCTGAGGGGCGAGGGAGAGTATCTCGCTGACAGTTTGCAGATGTTTGGCGGCCTTTGCCGGATTGGCTCGGCGGAGAGCAGCCGTATGATCTCAACTCATGGCAGGAATCGGAAACGGCGCTAGCCCTCGCGGATACTCTGGACGAAGATGCCGTAATTGTTGAAGGTTACGCCGAGTATGCAACTTGGAGGCCGCATCTGGCATACCTGCGAGACCCATATGGCGACCCTGATATGGAGATGGAGATCGATGGAGTGGGCGGCGTCAGTATTCTTGCCAAGGCCAAGGTCTTCCGGTCTGGAGTACACTTCCCAGCTTTTAGTTTTGAGAAGCACGCCGAGACCGAAGGATTTGGAAAGGTGAGATGATTGTGCTGCTGGATGTGGAACAGAACTAACCATTGCCGTGCAGATGGCGAAGCGCATGGAATACTCAGTTGTCGGTCTGCCGCACTACACGATTTGGCATCTTTACGAGCCTAGCGTTGACGATATCAAGCACATGGAGGTACGTTTTTTACTCAACAACAACATTGCGAAGTCTGTTCTAATGCAATATAGGAAATGGAGCAAGAGAGACTCGCTAGCCAAAAAGAGGAGGAAGAAAAGGCTGAGAAGGCGAAGAAGGTCAAAGAGCAGTTTGGCGATGCTAGCAGCCAGTGGGAGAAGGACAAGACTGATATGCAAAACCTCGTCGTCGGAGAGAAGAAGAAAGAGACGAAGGGCACCAAGGAGGTCACCAAGGAGGGCAAAGAGGCCAAGTCGCCCAAGGATGCCGACAGCAAGCAGGCGGATACAAACAAGAAGCCCGCAGCAGCAGACAAGAAGGATGCGCAAGGCAAGTCAGACAAGCCGGCAAAAAAGGAGAAGGATGGAAACGGCGCAGCATTCGCCAAGAAGGCTCAGAGTTGAGAGGGACAAATCTAGTAAGATGACTCCCTGCTGCCGAACGTTGCTAGGATCTGTAGCTGTTCTTGATGAACGAGTGTCGCTACCCAGGTTGCCACCAGCAGACAGCTTGTGCGATCGATACACGGGATATAAAGCAGAGTCGAGCCGTGTTGTCAGCCTTTGTTGTACACTAAGATATCTGCCACCGGATGGTCTGGAAGAGAGGGGATGTTGTAGGAAGGCGTTGGTTTATCCTGGGGCCCATGGACATGGGCATTACGTCGGGCACAGAACTAGCCCGCGAAATTATGAGTTACAGATGTACAACTGAAATTTCAATATACGTGACTAGATGCAGAGGATAGGCCCGAGACGAGTTTTGTCAGTCTGGAACTATCGTTGACTGGGAATAATTGCAGCGGTTTGACCTAACTCAAGGTAGACTTAATCTCTTATCTACCGAGATGCCACTTGAGATAATGGCTGTAACGGATATAATAGGGCAGACCTGAATAGCATCTATTTGTGTAGAAGTGTCTTGCCGTGAGATTCAGTAAGAGGTGTGGTATATTCATGGCCAAGGCCAGAGGATAAAGCAAAGTACCGTCGTTTACAAAAGTAAGTATCCACTGCCTCTACGGATACCTTAGGAACCTATAAGGTATTGAAGGCTAGAACCTTAGGAGGATACGTACCCCCACAGCTTAGCTTCCGGGCACTGAGGTACCTTGCAGCGGAATCCCCAATCTGGGGCACTGTACCTTATCGGGCTGCTTTACCTTGGGTACTTGCTACTTAGTGATCACTAACACTGGGCGACATGTAGAGTGGCCTTGCTCCGTAGGTGCACGGTAACTTGACTGGGAGCTCCATCTGCAACCTGGTCAATTCTTCGCCCAGGAATCCTTTTTGGCGACAGCTGTCTCCGTCTTGGACAAGACACCTAAATCTCAACGTTCTCGATCCGCACCCTACGAACTCGAGCTAACCTCCAACGGCTCGACGGATATCTGTCCTTGGACCCCTCCCCGGCGATTGCACAAGGCACCCGCCACAAATTGCCAAAGGAGCTTGCTGTCATCTAAGGATATTCAGCCCGTGCTTCGTCGTTCCTCTCTAGCCTGAACGCCGCCACTCAACACCATCATTCCGAGAGCCCTCCAAGACCGATCCTCGCGCGCGCGCACTCGAACCGCCACGTTCACCTTCATATCATGAGTCGAGATGCGGATGACTTGCTGCAAACCGAGACGGCCTCTGCCGTTGGCACGCGCTCCAGCGTAGACATTCGTCGAGCCATGATCGCGCCAAGGATGCAGTATCGAAGCCGACCTGTCTCTGTCGCTGTAGACCCCGTGTCTTTGGTCATGTCCGAGTGCATATCGATCACCTCTGCGATTCAAAAACATGCGCGATCACCTCATTCTTCCGTTTCGGCCATCTTGGGTGGAAGCCCAAACCCGATTCACCTGGGGCCCCCGAGTCCTTCACCGAGGGGTGCATCCAAGACACCAGGCACTGGACTCGGGATCGATGGCCCTCAGGACGTGGCCTCTGCCAACAGATGGGGCCTACGTGGAAAAAAGGGTCGCAGTATACAGGACAATCCATTGATGGCCGGTTTTGGGAAGCTTCGTCATGAATTGGCCAGCGTTAGAGGTAGGTCTCAACCTCGTTCTTTGCTGCAGTGGCCTTTGCTATACTGAGCCAGCCTTGCTAACCACGTTGCGCTCCAGACATACATTCATTCGACGCTCTGTTTCTCTTGAATCCGTTCCTCCAGATAATCCAAACGAAAGGCACGGCCGCGCCCATAACCATCCTCACTCTGGGAGCCCTGCGCAAGTTTTTGGCATACGGATTTATAAGCCCTGCATCACCGCGATTTGCCCTTGCTATGCAGTCCCTATCGGCAGCCGTCACTCGGTGTCAATTCGACGGAAGCGACTCAGGACAGGTGGAGGTTGTTCTCCTGATGATTCTTCACCTGATGGAGGACATGATGTCGGGGCCAGGAGGCGACATTTTGAGTGACGAAAGTGTTTGCGACATGATGGGCAGGGGGCTAGCAATTTGCTCGCAACCTCGATTCTCGCCCGTCCTCCGACGAACAGCCGAGGCGTCCATGGTTCGCATGTGCCAGATCATCTTTGAAGACGTCAAACATCTCGAGGTTGAGGCCGGAGACGAGTCCGACGCTCTCGACAAGCAAACAAGCGCGGACATGGACAGCGTCAAGATGGATCCAGCCGCGACTACTGCGCCAGGCCTGCAGGTAACGAGCCCTGAACCGGATGCGCGCCTGTCCACCTCAAGCTCGACACCCTTGGACCCGAACCCACGATCTCGGGGAGGCTCAGAGTCGGGCGACAGCAAAGCCGACGCTGGCACTGGCGGCGATGTGGAAGCCGATGGCGATGCAGATGGCGCGGAGAGCTCCGACTCTTTGGATCTCCGGCCCTATTCGCTGCCTTCTGTACGGGAACTATTCAGGGTTCTGGTTAACTTCTTGGACCCCAACGACCGGCAGCATACCGACACTATGAGAGTCATGGCATTGCGCATTATTCACGTTGCCCTCGAGGTCTCTGGTCCCTCTATTGCGCGGCACCCTGCTTTGGCCGGGATAGCCGAGGACAGGCTCTGCTGCTACCTCTTCCAACTTGTCAGGTCTGACAACATGGCTATCCTACAAGAGTCGTTGATCGTGGCAGGCACGTTACTAGCCACATGCCGCGGTGTCTTGAAACTGCAGCAGGAACTTTTCCTTTCGTATCTCGTAGCGTGCCTTCACCCGTCGGTAGAAATACCGCGAGAACCGGGCATCGACCCGTCACTGTACGCCGGGATACCGCAATCCCCCAAGCTCGTTAAGCCACCCCCATCGCAGACCAGCAGTGGCCGCTCGACGCCAGTCCCGGTAAAGGATCGGCAAAAACTCGGTCTTGAGGGTGGTGCCAGGAAACCAGACGCACGACAGGCCATGGTTGAGAACATTGGTGTACTGTCAAGGATGCCAACGTTCATGGCTGAACTCTTTGTCAATTACGATTGCGACGCTGATCGAGCGGACCTGTGCGAAGATATGATTGGCCTTCTCTCGAGAAATGCTTTGCCAGACTCCGCAACTTGGAGCACGACGAGCGTGCCACCGCTTTGCTTGGATGCACTACTCAGATACATTCAGTTCATCGCCGAAAGGTTGGACGAGGCCCCGGTTGTCGATGGCTATCCCGACGCTACGGAGCTACGGGAGTTGAGACGGAAGAAGAAGATCATTATCAAGGGCACCAGCAAGTTCAACGAAAACCCCAAGGGCGGCCTTGCCTATCTCGAGGCCCAAGGAATCATCTCCGACCTAAAGGATCCAGTCGCGGTCGCCAAGTTCCTAAAGGGAACATCGCGCGTATCCAAAAAGGTCCTTGGCGAGTATCTCTCCAAGAAGGGAAATGAGGCCGTGCTAGAGGCATTCATGAGTCACTTTGACTTTTCAGAGAAGCGAGTGGACGAGGCGCTCAGAGGACTGTTGGAGACATTCAGATTGCCAGGCGAGTCGGCATTGATTGAGAGAATCGTTGTTTGTTTCGCAGACAAGTACTGTTTGAAGGCGAAACCAACCGAGGTCGCCAACGCTGATGCCGTCTACGTCCTGACCTACGCCATCATCATGCTCAACACGGATCAGCACAACCCCAACCTCAAGAGTCAAAAGCGTATGACCGTAGATGACTTTGCACGAAACCTACGGGGCGTCAATGACGGCCAAAACTTTGCGCCAGAGTATCTTCAAGATATTTTCGACAACATTAAGACTAACGAGATCATCCTGCCTGATGAGCATGACAACAAGCATGCGTTCGACTATGCCTGGCGCGAGTTGCTCGTCAAGTCGGAATCGGTGCGTCCGCTGGTTCTGTGCGAGACGAACATCTATGATGCCGACATGTTTGCTTCAACGTGGCGGCCCATCGTGTCCACCCTTTCTTACGTATTCATGTCGGCTACGGACGATGCAGTCTTTGCGAGAATTGTCACTGGCTTTGATGAATGCGCCCGCATTGCGGCCAAATACAAAAACACGGAGGCCCTCGATCAGATCATCTACGCACTAAGCCACATGACTACCTTGGCTACTGACATACCCTTCAACACCAACCTGAACACGGAGGTCCAAGCTGGCGAAAGCAGTGTCATGGTCAGCGAATTGGCAGTGAAACTTGGAAGAGACTTCAGAGCGCAACTGGCAACTCTGGTACTATTCCGAGTTGTCACCGGCAGTGAGGGTTTAATCCAGGATGGTTGGAAACATGTAGGTCAACATCCCCCTGGGTCATCATGGCGGAAAAACTAACGAACCTAGATAACCCGCATATGGCTCAACCTCTTTGTCAACTCCCTGGTCCCTCCCTTCTTTGCGGATTCACCAGTTCTGGATATCGGTCCGATACCGCTGCACACACCCTCCCAAGTGATCGATCGTGCTGCAAAGACTGTCGATACGGGCTTCTTTTCCGCCTTTACTAGCTACATTTCCAGCTACGCTGCAGACGATCCACCAGAACCCTCGGACGAGGAACTGGAAAGTACTCTCTGCACCGTCGACTGTGTCAACTCATGTCACATGGGCAACGTCTTTGCCAACATCTCGTAAGTCGGTCTGCCCCTGGCCAGACACAACTGCTAATCAGCGTCGCGTAGAAACCTCTCCCCTCAAGATCTAGAGCCGCTGATTGACTCCCTCCTCAACGCACTACCTGAAGATAACAACCCAACGGTGATCGTTGTCAAGTCGGACAATGTACCTGCAGCAACGATGAACGGCCAAAAGCCTGTGCAACCAGGAGCTGTGTACGACCCTGCCATGGCCTACATCCTTGAGTTCAGCACGGTCCTAGCTCTTCGTGACAAGGACACAGTCCAACTTGTAGCAAAGAGAGTCATCGAAGCACTGCAGGCCGTGCTGCGAGATGCTGGACGGTACCACTACATTATTGTCTCGAGAGCAACCTTCTATCTTCTCA